AATCTTAAACAATATTCCTATTAATGACTATTTAGAACTATAATAACACATTTTTCTAAAGATTTTATATCTAAATATATTAAAAAATTGAATAATAAACTTTTTTTCATTTTTAATAATTAGATATATTTATTTTTACATAAGTATAAATTATTTTAGTTTGTATTTTACAATAAATCATGTTAGTTGTTAAGATTAATAAAATTATATAAAAATTACTAGCATAGTGTTTATTTTTTTATCCTTATTTAAAACATTATTATCTATATTATTTTTATAGTTTTATTTTACAATTGAAAAGTAATCTTAAATTTGATCTTTTAATATGATTACTTATATAATTAAAAATACAAATTTATTCTAAATTTAAAAAATTGTATTACCTACTTTGAACTATTCTTTATCACATTTTTAAAAGACCATAAGTTTATTTTTCTATTAATTTAAAGATATGATATATGATTATCAATAAAGTTTTACTTAACTTTTTTTTTTTTTTTTTGAGTAAAAAATTATAGATCTTAGTGAAATGAATAAACTAAATACATTGCATACATAAATTTAAAAAAAAATAAATATGTTTTTGTTTTATAGTATAAAAATAATCAGTTCAGTAGAATGGATTAAATAGCACATTTAAAATAAATAATATCAAAAAATACTATGAAAATAAAAATTCATATTAAAAGTGTCATATATGCTTTATTTATATTAGTATATAAACTTATTTGTTTTTATTTATTGAGTTCCGTCATATTATGAATCTATACATAAAAAAAAACAAAAATATTCATACTTTAAAATTAATATGTGGTATATATTATACTAATTGTTATAAGTTATCATTTTTCATATTTTTCTAAGATTCACTGATTTTAATTTTTTATAATTATTGCTCCTATAGTCTGATCATACATATTATTTATTTATTTATTTTTTTTTTGAACAGTATAGTTTATAATATCTCTAGATATAGCAAGTGATATCATTGTAATAAATATTCTATAATATGATAAATTTTAATATTATACATAGGAATTAATCTTGGTTTTTCTATACAAAAATTTGGTGTCTTATCGACCTGCCATTGAGACTAGAAATTCTATAACGTAAGAGAAAACTTTTTTGTTTAAATCAGCCCCTTCTAGATTTACAATGAATTAATTTTGATCTAATTCGTTTAGGTTTGATTAGTTTTCCTATTCTAAAAGTTATATTTTTCTTAACGAGTATTTAATATTGCATAAATACTATTAGGATATCGTTTGGAATTTTTTAAAAGATTTTTAGTAAACTTTTGTACAATGATGAAAGTATTAAGTACTTATTCTTATGTGCGTTTAATCTACGAGTAGTAGAGTATATTTTGAGCTGAATAGCGAATATATATAATTTAATTGTATAGCACCTACTGTATCATTCTCAAACAATGATAACTTTATTACATTTTTTTTCCATTTTTTTTTAAATTTAAGTATTAATAAACAACTTTTAATAGCATAGACTGAAACTAATTCTTATTCATATTAATTCACAGCGTAATAGTTTGCAGAAACCCCGGAAAGATACCATAGGTATTTTATTTTCTTTATCGAGAAATTTCTCATAATGTGTACCTTTTATTATTTATTACACTGGTTTTCGTTCGTCTGATTATATATTTCATTATTCCTTCAGAGTTTTACATTAACAAAATAATTCAAGTGTGCGCCCAATTTAAGCACGTTTGAATAAGAACAAATTAAAAAAAGTCACGCCATGTCTGTAGGTGGTATCATATAATGATAGGTATGATTCAATGGGTACTAACATATTATACATAATAAACCGCACTAACAGTGGTTTTAGCGCTTTGTTTCTCTATATTTTAAGGTTTATTCTACCACCTTTATCATGAAAATACTAGGTACCTACAGTTTTTTTTTCTCTAACGTGCCGCGGTCACGTAAACGTCCGATATGCTACTATTACCTACATGGTAAAAGTGTACGAAATAATATTTTATACAGAGAGAAAAACGGAGACAGCGGCCAAGTCCAAATGTATAATGCATAAGCGTTTTGTGTATGCGCTGAAATAATAGCCGGATAAAGTCAGCGAAAGCTTTCGGAAGCTTAAAACTTTCTGCTCTGAAAGTTATTGTTCAACTTCTTGAACGCTCAAGAGAAGCAGAAGAATACGAAGAGGGTACGCACGCAAAATCAACACACACAAACACATACATACAAACTCAAACACTATGCAGTGTCGACTATATCGATGTCACTGACGATAGTAGCGAAGTCCTTACCTTATTGCCTTATCGTAAATTAGTGTAGACCAAAAATTACACAGTCTCCTATTGATTTAATTCATGGTAGAATTCCAAAAAAAAGTTTCAAACGATTTTGTTTTGATGTATATAGGCATGATAATAAATATAAAATAACATTTAATCTTGTTACTAAATTGTTTATGAGAAAAATTCGCTAATGACGTTAATAAATTCATGCAATACTCTGAGAGCGATAAAAAAAAATAAAAAATAAAAATGATAGAAACAGAGATAGAAAGATAGTGAAAACGTAGAGAAAAGGAATACACTTAAAACGAATCTAACATTAAATCATAATTCAAAGTATGATTACACGGTTTCGTTTCCTGTTCTTTATTTGGCTTCTCATAACATTTTTGCATTCCTCTTGTTTGAATAAAAACACGTGTAAGCGTGTACTTCTAATACAGTTACTATGGACATAATATTTTAGTGAAGATGCATTTTACTACGAAAATAAACAGCTTCCTTCCCCATCATCAATAAAGCGGTTATTATTATTATTATTATTATTATTATTATTATTATTATTATTGTTATTATTATTTATGTTGTATTGTTTTATAATAATTTCATAATGTATTCTTGTTGTATTATTTATTGAGGAAATGTCTTATATTCTTTATTTTTTCTCTTGTCTTTGGTTAAATTAGATATGAGTATATTGTTTATATATAACTATATGAACCATGAAATTAAAATTTAGTTTTTATATAATAATGTATCAATGTGTAATACATATAAGAATTATTTATTAAATTGTTTTACAGCGTAGCATACTATAAACGTTTTATCTTAATATAGTTAAATTTGAATAAATATTATGCAACAGTTTAGTTGATATTATCCAAAGTAATTTATATTATTTAATATAAATATAAATATATTATTATTATAGTATTTAAAATTAAACAGAAAACGTGGATATATTCACATTTAATGGCATAATCATTTTGAATACCAAACACAATTTTAAACTTACTCTAGTAGCATTAAATGATCATACACTGTTTTGTAAAATATATACCTATACTACTACATTTTGTAAAAGTAATAAAAATAACAATACATTAAAAAAATCTACTTGCAAGTCTAACGAAAATATTTTATGTTATTACATACATATACTATCAATTGGATTTATAATAAAATTTAATATTTTTTTTTTTTCTTTAACTCTATTTAAGTATTAAATCATGTCCAATGATTGGAATTTTATTAAGAATAATACTTTTTAAAGATCATTTTAGTAGTCTCTGATAAAATTACAAGGTAATGTATTTTCTGGTATTAGTTCTTACGTACAATCTATTTAAAACTTAAATATGAAAATATAAATACATATTTACATCAATATGAATAGTTTTTTTTTTTTATGTAATATAATTTTATTATGATTTTAATAATATCATAAACAAATTGTATATTCAAGTATTGCCTATATATAATTTATCATTATACGAAAAAAAAACATTAAATTTCAAAAATAAGTAGATAATTTTATGTTTAATTTATTTCATACTAATGGAAATTTTAAATTTTAATTTATGCAAATTGAATGCATTAGCTCATTTATATTTTTCAGCTCAGAATTATTGTATTTTCACAAAAATTTAACAATTATTAATGGCATGATTATATTTACAAAATAAATTTAAAAAAAAAATAAAAAATAAAAATATTATAGCTTGGTTAGAATATTAATGTATAACATGGCTAACAAAAATAAATACAATAATTTGTCACACTTATATTTAGTGGGTATATTATATATAATTTATTTATAATTAATAATATGTTCTTCTTACTTTTTTTTATTAATTCAAGGTTATAAAGTATTCATACGTATAAAAAAATAAATACTGCATTATAAATGAAATAATATATCAAGTAATAGAAATTTGTAATATTATTTGTGTAATTTACTAACCAAAGGTATTTAAAAAATATTATTAATATAATTATTAAAGGTTAGACAAAAAATGCATGAAAACATTCAAAAATATTATGAAAAGTAATTTCAGTGCAAAGTTATTTAGGAATTGAAAATTTCTGAAATATTCATATTAAATTTTGGTTATATTTTTTAAACACATTTTTTGAAAATGTTTATTATTATTAAAATATAATACAGATTCTGAAATAAATTCTATATTTTTCAGTAAATTTCAGTTTAAGTTTTTTGTTATTTTTTTTTTTTTTTTATTGTTCAAGTATATTTAATAGTAAACGTAAGTTTAATACAACATTGTAAATTTTTATAATATTTATTCATATTTAAAAAGAAAATAATCGGTTAATCAAAAATAATTATGATGATAGATTTACGAGTATGATACACCATTACGTACATTTTAATTAGATCTTTTCATATTACAGATTAAAAATAAAATAAAATTTTAGAGTTTAACACTAAATTTAAACTCCGAAAACATCTTAAATATGTTATTAATTATTTAAAATAGGAAACCTATGTTTTTTAGACCATATACAATAACCCAACTTTATATTATTTTATCAAATCTATAATTTGTTTAAGCCAAACACAATCTATCATATTCCCAGTTTTACACCTTTAATTGTATGTTTTAACTTTATTAATTTATCAGTAGAAATGTTTCAATCTATGTATAATATTATGCATATTTATCATACATTAAATTTATAAAAAATGTATTTGTTTTAGGTGTATCCGAGATCAGCATGCATATTTTATATGCGACCGCACTGATTTTGATATTGATTTTGTGTTTTATCGAAAATGCTTCTTCTAATGGTAAGATATTTAAAAAAAATATATTATATTAGATAAAGCGTTCATTTAAATAATATACATAATACTAGAGGTATTTTATTATTATGTTAATACTATAGTATGTAAGGATGATTTAACTCATCAACTTAATATTTAAGTGAAAACTCTAAAATCATTATCAATGTTTAAAAAATGCATATGGCTAACTATAATAACATAAAAAAAAAAGTGATTATTTTCAAATATGCCTCAATAATTCAAAATATATTTACGTTTTTGAAAATATTTCTAGTCGAAATATTTTTATATTTTTAATTCATTCATCCTAATAATTTTTTAAGTTTCTTACTTTATTAGATAATAACACACATTTTTAATTTCATATTTTGAGTATTGTGATTTATAAAAGTAGAAACTTGTACGAGTAATATTTGAAATGTAAGTATTTAAATATTAGGTGAGTGAAGTGTGGAGAAACGAGGATACCCCGCAAAATGTTCATCTACTAATCTACCTATTTAGCTTTAAATACCTATAACTCATACACTACTAATCCGAGTTCGATTTTAATTATTTCGAATTATCAGAATATTTATTAATTCGTATTTGATTTTAATGAAACACAATAATTATTTGATTATTTTATTTGTTCCTTATTTTAAGAAAGGCACCTAGGGCAGGGTTCCGTTTTCAGCAATAATGAACCTTTTTGTTTGCAGCCGTTCTATAATATTTATTTTTAGCCAATGTACTATTTTGGTCACCAATGTAAAATAATACCATTATAAAAAAATATAAAAAAAATTTAAAATAAATATTAAATCGGTATGCGACATGCCATTTTTTTTTTATAAAAGTCAATTATTTTTTAAATAAAATAATTGAACATTTTTGTGTATATTTTTTACAAATAAATATTCATTTGGTATGCTTGTCATAAGTGTCTACAGTTATTAAAATAAACGTTAATTAACTTTCAACTCGACTATCGACATGAGTACAATTGCACTACATGCATAAACTACACATAACGGCCGTTTAAAAATACCTATACCTATGAAAATTTAAACACAAAACAGAAAATCCTATGATCCTCTTATGATATACTATGTATAAATATATAGTGTTTTAAAAAGATGATAATCTTTTAACTAACGGTCAATTTATGAATCTGAAACTGGTGATATAATTTTAACGATAATTAATAATATAATTTAACATCAGTAATGAAAATAGTGCATAGGCTAAAAAGGGTTCCGTCAGACATTTAATAACTAAACAAAGTATACGATTTAAATCTATAGGTAATTGTACTACTGTTAACCAATAACAATTGATTAATTAAATAGTATGTGAGTACTTATTTAATTGTTATTCAAGTACTTATTTAGTTTTGTTTCCTTGCATCTATGCTCGATATAATGTGTAATGTAAACTTTTGATACGATAACTAATTAAAAATTATTTACCAATACATTTACTTTATGATAATTATAAGCATTTTGAATTTGAATTCAAAATAGCCTCTATTAATTTTTATTTTTTTAATAATTGGGACTATTTTTTAGTTTTACTTTGAACCTTTACTGCCGAGATACTGAATATTATAATAATCACCCTAATTAGGTATCCGATAATACTTGGAGTTTTAAAATTAGGACATTTTTTTGTGATAAATTAAGATCTCTAAAAAAACATAGGATTACAATTATTATTTAATTTGATGTTTGTTCAATACATTACCAAATAAACTAATGTTAATAAAATTAACTGAATTCAATATCATAAAATCAGTTTTAAGTCAATGTATTCAGAAAATATCACAAAACTTTCAGATTTTTATATTTAATTTATAACATATGATGCTAACAATAACATTATCTGAATTGCTGATCAAAAAATAATATTTTCTTTTAAGTAACGTTTTTATTGTAAACATAATATATTCATATAAACATTGAACATATTGAAATTAAATTGTATTTGAATAACAATACACAGAAGTAGGAAATACATTAATTTTTAAATAAATTGTAAGTCAATAGTATATTTATATTACTGTTGGTTAGCATTAAATTATGAAAAAAATAAATTTATAGACTATATTATTTTCTAAGAAACTTAAAAAACCGCAGTTAGTTCCATAATTTATTTAACTGTTTTCGTATTCTACGCGTTTAAAATTTTTAATAATACTCATTAATTATTCAATGGGCATTATGCTCCTTATATTACTTACATCATTAATTTAAAATAGTTATACTTTATTACATACAAATAGGTAGTAGATATTTCTTTGAGTTATTTTTAAGAATTTACATTACATCTTTCTTTAAATTAATTCATCTGATAAAGGTATATATTATTTTGCAAACTCGTTATAAACTATACAATTTATAAAGAATAAAATAAATGAAATTAATAACATAATTTTTATAGATACATTTCATATCATCTGTGTACATGTATTATAAATTAATTAATTAGAATAGAAGTTATGCAGCTGTGGAGTTTTACTTAAGCCAGTAACTTATTTATTAAACAATTTAATCGTTTATAATTTATATATGTCATTATATATGTATATAAATAAATATGTTAATTTATTTAAATATATGTTTATTTATTTTTTGAAATAATCACTTGACCAATTAATTTAGTCGTTTAATTTACATTTGAATAGTGCAAATCGTGTTGGTATACACAAATCATTAAGTGCACTAATAATAATATTATTACAATGTATGTGAGTACGATAGGTGTATTTTTGACTGTTTATCATTGCATTTGCTGATTTAAATAACATTAAAATGTGTTAGAAGCAGTGGTGTTTCATCGATGTAACTCCACTCAACAACTCGTAGTTCGATTAAAATGTATATGTACTCACCACAACTACACCGGAAGTGTGTAATATTTTACCCTGAGACACATATTGGCTTCGTCGATTCATTATTCGTGTATGCATAACCACGGATGTCGATTTGATTTCGACAAATTGCATTCGTGATGGATGGCGTTTTGTCGGAATGAAGTGTAGTATGGTCATGTCCGGTCACACCCCGTATGTTATATACATATTATCCGACTATCGTTTGTATTTGTTGCGGGGTGTTCGGTTGTCTTTCGATGTGTACACATAGGTAGGCAATGATGTATATACTAAACGGTATAATAGTAATAATAATACGTACGTGAATCGTGCAAGTGAAAAAACCCCACAATTACCCAATGGTTGGCTTTATTATTTTCAAAATCACATTTGTGAACGCCACCGTCAGTCGGTCGGTACCTACAGAGTGGTAGTGAAGCGGGAATAAAATGTGTATGTATGATAAAAAAAAATAAAAAACAAAACAAAATCGAGCACGAAAAATGTCGTATTGATTCGTATTGGTTTTTTTTCTCTCATTCCACAAATATCGTTATACACTCTACATAATTTAACCCTTGCGAACGAAATACTGGTGTCTAATGGTTTACCAATGACGAAAATGCTAAAAAATGCACCACATGTTCAACTGCGTATACCCGGAAACACCGATTCAAGCGAAAATTCGAATATTTAAATCTTTTACCCCAGTGTTTCTCTTCGTGTACTTAACCATTTTACATTTTTACTCATATTTAGTTGTGTATTGTAATCGTTTCATAGAAAACTACGCAATTACTACGATAGTATCGCTAGACTATGTAATATAATATAACAATTAAAGTGTCACGAAAGAATCACGCGTTAGTTAAATAAAGAGCTAGAGAAAATTTTAGATCTGAAAAAATTGTTTGATCATAAGTTTCTTTTTGTACAATATAAATTTACAAATATCTCTTATTTAGAGAACATTTTCAATAGAAGACAATAATATGTTTCTATTATTCTAGGTTTCCGATAAAGATAAGTTATATTGTTAGTTAACTATTGGGTATTGAAACTCACACAATTATTATAGCCAACCAATAAGTATTATATCCGCAAAATTATTTATTTGTTACAAATATATAATAATTTAATCAAAAGTATAATATGTAAAAAATATAATAAGAACAATAATAAAACATATAAAATAGGTACAATTTCATTTAAATATAAATTTCTTTTTAAACGTATAAAAACAGAGTTCAACTTATTTCATTTGAGTATATTGTACATTATCAACCGTATTAATATTATGATTTATTAGGAGTTATTACATGGAATATTAGATAATAAACAAAACTCAATTTTTAATATTTTCTGTAATAATTAAATTTTAAATTTTAGTTTAGTCATTAATAAAAAAAAAAAAAATCTTTTAGAATTAAATTAAATTTATTAATTAATTAATTATTCTAACAATTATAATTAAAATAAGCAATAGTAAACTACTAACAAATCGAATAATAGTTTAGTGATCAAACAAAATATATGCAATTTAAATAGATAAATGAATAATAGTTATGCTAATTTAAACGAAGTATAGACTATATGTATTATGTATAGAATATTTTATTGTAATCATGTACAATGTAAATGTTTGTTATAATTATTACAAAGGTATGTGTGTTTAAGATTTAAATACCACAATTTAATTCCCTGTTTTTTTTTTTTTATGTATTGTATTCATATGTATTTTTTTTTGTTTTTTACTTTTAAAAATTGACACTCACTAAAAAATACGTGTTTAAAACTAAATTACTAAAATGAGTATATTAAAAAATATCGGATAATTCAATGTTAATAAAACACTGTTAATTTGTAAGAAACAGAAATTGAATTTTAGAACCTGTCTTATAAAATGTTCAATTGTGTCAAGTGGTAGTGAACAATAATTGAATCACTACCAATTCAATCCTTAACGATGATTATTGGACAGACGTTGAAGAAATAGTTCCTGACCGGTAGTTGGAACGTATCGCTGAAAATATAAGGCTTTTATTGTAATTACCCATTCGGGCTATGTAATTAATGTGTAGGGATTTTGGTCTCTGGATGACCGGTTGCAGGGTTGTTTAATCATCAGAAGGCAGGTAAAATACGACAT